TATTCCTATACAGTGTTTGATGTTTATACAAATGTTTTCACATAAATGATTCCACTGGTTCCTCCCAACAAGCCCACCACAGGCAGACAAGGCCCAGCCAGGACACAGTCAGTGAGAAGCTGCCACTCACCAGGCCACTAACACACCTGGCTGGGAAGCTACGCCCTCCTGCTGCCCTGCCTGGAAAGGACTCCTCCAGACAGCTCCCTGGCAGCACCTGGCCTCCTTCCCACTCTGCTTCAAGTCTCCCCATCAGAAAAGCCTAAGAGCAGCCCACCTCTCCATTATTGTGCTCTCTCTCTTACCCTGCTTGATTTTTCTTCAAATATCTTTCATTCTTTTCTTTTATTTTTATTTTTAGGTTTTAGTCGCCAATGGATCTTTATTTATCTGTGGTGCTGAGGACTGAACCCAGGGCCTCCCACCTGCCAGGCAAGTGCTCTGCCACTGAGCCACCGCCCCAGCCCCTCTTTTCTTTTTCTTTCTTTCTTTTTTTTTTTTTTGGTCTGGTATTGGGGATGGGGTCTTGCTAAGTTGCTTGGGCCTCACTAAATTGCTGAGGCCAGCCTCAAATATGATTCTCCTGCCTCAGCCTCCTGAGTCACTGGGATTACAAATTTTTCTTCAAATTTCTTAGAACATATTACTCATTCATCATTTTTCTTTCTATAACAATGTAAGCTCCAAGAGAACAGGGCCATTCATCCGTTTTGTTCTCTGTCATAATAATCCTGACTCCTGGAATGGTATCTGACAAATATAATAGGTACTTAATAAATTTGTGTTAAATGAATGAATAAGTACTAGAACTTTGCTATGAACTTGGCCAAATCTTTTGAGGAACCTAGGTTTTTTTGCAACACAACAAAATAAAATTATAATGTGACTGAGATAAAATGCCAGCTGTTAGGGAACTATATCCAAGTTCAGGATCAGAGCTTGCCTGGGTTCCTCTCATCCCCAGCTTCTTGTTTTGGGCATCTGTCAAGAAACAATCTGAGAACAGAAGAATTGGCCACAGCCCATGTCTAGGTCCCACCCTAGGCCTGCTCTTGGCAGGGAAGGGTGTCTCTGAGGAGGAAGGAGAAGGTGCCGGGCAGCGGTCAGAGTCCAGGGAGCAGCAGAGCGTGACCTTACAAGATCCATGTAATCTGAGTAGAAATTACACCCAGGACCAAATTGATGTGCAACAGGAACTTTTTGATTAACTCTCGTTCCCAGGGGAAAGCTTGCCTCTAACAAGTTGAGGCAGTGTGGTGTGACAGAGCAGTGACCCTTGCAAAACAATGAGACTCTGAGACCCAGTGGCAACCCCAGAATTGTGCCCAGTGGCCTTGGAAAACCTCATGGCCAGCATCAACATTCACTTTCCTCCAGTGCCTGGATCAGGCAGCCAGGCACGAGGGAAGGTTGTCAGGCGGAGTGCAAAGAGCAGACTAGGAGTCAAACCTGGGCAGCTCTAGTGTCGGTGGACTTCTTGCATCTGATGGCAGTTTACAGATTGCAGATTGGTCATTTGTCCAAACTGACCACAGCCATGGGATATCTTAAAATAATTTATATCTTAAAATAATTATATGTTATATCTTAAAATAATTATTGACAAAACATTTTTGACAAATGCCTGTTTGCCAGTCCAAGCCTTACATTTTAACTTAATGGTACAGAAACATGTTTTCAACCTTTAATAAATCATAAAACTTTCTAAAGGAAATATTTCCTGGACTTTCTCTTTCTTTCTCCCTCTTTCCTCTCTCTCTGTCTGTCTCTTCTAATGCCATCTGGTTTCAAATCCTGTTACTATTTTTCTTAGTTTAAAATATTTATTTTAATGCCTAGGTGCAGTGCATGTAAAGGAAGAAGAACTGTTAGAACAGTTCTTCTGGAACTGAGCACCTATAAGAAATTCTAAGCTATGTAAGCTGTGGCCCCCCGACCCCATATATACAAGCACTGTCCCATGTGGGCACGCATACATACACACACACACATCCCCCTCAAAACTTCCTTATAACACATCCAAAGTACATAGCTGAAAATCCAAGCAAATGATTCCTTACAAATTAAACAAAAACATCACAGCATACTTTGCATACTAATAATAGGCCATGACTTTTGCCATTTTCTGAGCGCTATTTGTTGGCATTTTAACCTGTGCTGGTTTCAGGAACTACAACCATTCACCTTTGTCCTGCAGGAACCACATTTAACCCTCCTCCAGCCCTGGGCACTCAAGCATGGGTGGGTATTGAATTTTTCTCAATTCCCACAGCATGACGGTAAAAAGCAAACAAAGTAAAACCGTGGTTGTTTTTGCCTTATATTCCCTAAAACTTGGAAAGGGCATTTGGCCATCTATAAAGACCAGGGCTTGACAGGGATTAAAGGACAGCCTGGCATCTAATCCCAGCTGAGCAGCACACATTGTGGTGGAGCCCACCTGTGGGCCTGTGGAGGTGGGCAGAGGCCCCAGATAGGCTGGTGGGTTTCAGGCAGATGAGGGAGCACAGGTCCCATCTGAAGGATGTGGACAGACAGCTCTGTCTGGAGGCTGCATGGTGCCAGTGTATTTAGATCTCCTCACTTTCCAGGAAAAGCCAGAAACTGAGTTGTTAATGTGAATCTCCACATTTTTAAAAGTTAGAAATTAGTTCTAAAAGTGGTATTAAAATACTGTTTGAGTTGAGTGCAGTGGTACATTCCTGTAATCCAGCTCAGGAGGCTGAGGCAGGAGGATCACAAATTCAAGGCCAGTCTCAGCAACTTAGCAAGGCCTTATCTTGAAATTAAAATTAAAAAAAAGGAATTAGGATGTAACTCAGTGGAAAAGTCCCCTGGGTTCAGTCTCTGGTACCAAAAATAAATAAATAAATATTTTTAAAAATATGAGCCAAACACAATATATCTATGGCCTGATATGGCACACAGGAGCCTGACTGTGCACTCTTTGGAATAGTAAGTGGTTCTAGCAGGTTTCAGGCCTCAATCCACCACTCATTAACTGGTTTCTGGGTAGGTGCTTCACTTCCCAACCACTTAGAATTGGTGATCCAGGATGATGGAGAAGCTAGGGCGTTGATTTCCTCCAGTTCAGATCCTAACTCCACCACTTACTACCACCATATACTAGCTGGTCATTGGGATGGACTACCCTGGGCTCCAACTCCCCCACCCCCATAAAATGCAGACAAGCTGGGCACAGTGGCGCAAGGCCTGTAGGCCCAGTGGCTCAGGAGGCTGAGGCAGGAGGATTGAAAATTCAAAGCCACCCTCAGCAAAGCAAGGCACTAAGCAACTCAGTGAGATCCTGTCTCTAAATAAAATACAAAATAGGGCTGGGGATGTGGCTCAGTGGCTGAGTGCTCCTGAGTTCAATCCCCAGTACCCCCACACAAAAAAATTGCTGACAACAATGCAATCCCTCCCACAGGGCTGATGTGGGATTAAATGAGGTGATGCACACAAGTGCCTTCTGTGGAGGAAGCACCTGGTAGTCATGGCAGCCACTGCTGTCATGAGCTTGGCGTCCCTTTCTCCATCTGTCCACAGCCAGTCAGCCAGTCCTGCTAAATAAGACTTCTGAAACTCTCAAATCTATCCCAGGCATGACCTCACCCTCACTCTCTTCATCCTGAACTATCACAATCATCTAATGGTCATGCATCCTGCTTTCCTGAGCAGCCTCGGGAAATCAGCTGCTCCCATGTGATTCCCTCTCCCAGCTTACGCTGGCATTCATTCTCCCTGTCACCTGCAGAACAAAGTCTACTTCTCTAATCAAGGCTCTCCCCAGGCTCATATCCTACCAGTATCTATAACATTTTTATGCCCCAGCCACACCCTACCCTATCCTTGCCTTTCCTGAAAGCCATGCTGTTGACTGTCATCAAATCTCAGCAATAATATTCTTTCTGCTTACCTTGTTTGTCCTCCATGTCAACTTTTGACCACATCTCACCCTTCTAAATCCAGACCAAAACAGTGATTTCCACCATGAAGGCTTCTCTGATTGTCCCCCTAACCAGCCCCTGCGGTAGAGCCCTCACTCCCCTGCATCTCTCCACACCTAGTGCATAGTGCCCTTTCGCCCATCTCAAAATGCCCTGTAGTCCACTTGCTGACATCTGCCAAACACGAGGTAGGGGCTGGGGATATAGCTCAGTTGGTAGAGTGCTTGTCTCACATGCACAAAGCCCTGGGTTCAATCCTCAGCACCAGGAAAAAAAAATAGGAGAACAAGGACAAGAACCTGGCCTTTCTTTCTTTTTTTTTTGTACCAGGGATTAAACCCAGGGGTGCTTAACCACTGAGCCACATATCTAGTCCTTTTTTATATTTTATTTAGAGACAGGGTCTTGCTGAGGTACTTAGGGCCTCACTAAACTGCTGAGGCTGGCTTTGAACTCATGATCCTCTTGCCTCAGCCCTCCAATTTGCTGAGACATTACAGGTGTGTGACAGTGAACCCAGCTGCCTTACACATTTTTTAAAAAAATTTCTAGCTGGCACACAGTTAAGTTCTTGGTGTTTGCTAAATAAATTAATAAAGGCATTGTAACAAGGTCAAAGATAACATCACTTTTAATATATCCTGTTGCAAGAAATTGGGATCTTTGGGAATATACTTGCCACAAAGAATAGGAGGGGCTGAGGTTGTGGCTCAGTGGTAGAGCACTCGCCTAGTGTGTGTAAGGCCCTGGGTTTGATCCTTAGCACCACATAAAAATAAATAAAATAGGACTGGGGATGTGGCTCAAGCGGTAGCGCGCTCGCCTGGCATGCGTGTGGCCCAGGGTTCGATCTTCAGCACCACATATAAACAAAGATGTTGTGTCCGCCGAAAACTAAAAAATAAATAAATAAATATATATTAAAAAAATAAAGGTATTGTGTCCAACTACAACTAAAATAAATAAATAAATATTTTAAAGAAAGAAAGAATACAAAAAAAAAAAAAAGGCCCATAAAAATCACTTAAAAGAGCAGGTGCTGCAATACTCGCCTGTAATCCCAGCAAGAACTCTGGAGGCTAAGGCAGGGGATCAAAAGTTCAAGGCCATCCTGGGCAGTTTAGTGAGATTCTGTCTCAAAACAAAAACAAAAATAAAAAAGGGCTGGGGATATAGCTCAGTGGTAAAATGCCCCTGGGTTCTATACCCAGTACTCCCCAACACCCAGCCAAAGAAATCAATTGAAAGCCCTCAACTTGCCAAGCATAGTGGCACATGCCTGTAATCCCAGTGGCTCAGGAGGTTAAGACAGGAGGGTTGAAAATTCAAAGCCCACCTCAGCAAAGGCAAGGCGCTAAACAACTCAGTGAGACCCTGTCTCTAAATAAAATACAAAATAGGGCTGAGGATGTGGCTCAGTGATTGAGTACCCCTGAGTTCAATCCCTAGCACCAAAACAAAAAAAAAAAAAAGCCTTAAGTTCCCTGGAATGTGTGCATTTTGGTTCATTTTAGCATAAAAAGATGTTATATTTAAAACTCTAACTACCTAGATAGTTGAAAATATGCACTTACAGGTGGCTGGCATTTGTCACAGAGCCTTGACATTCACTTGTCTTTCTGTGGCCTCCATGGAATGCATGATTTCCCAGGTGAAAATGTCATTCAGACAAAGAACAGAAATCTGATGATTTGGGTCATAATTTATACAACGTGCCAGTCTGAGAGGTTTTCACACACGGGGAACTGCCTGAACCTTGCCCTTGTGTCCATGCAAGCCTCTTATGAGAGAGAATAATTCCTCAGCTGAAGAGTCAAGAAAGGAGGCTGGAAGCCATCCTCTCTGGGAGGCACAGACCTGGGGAAGAAAATAAACATAATTGTTTTAGAATTTGTATTCTTAAAAACTTGCCACAAAGCATTCACCAAATGAATGGAAGGTTGTGACTCAACCTCATCTCCCCCTCCTCCCCCAAGCAGCACAGCAGAGCTTGCTTTGGCAGCCTGGGAAACTGATTTCTGGGGTTGGTCTAGAAGGAATGGGGGCAGCAGTTCAACAGAGAGCTTTTCGGGTGCTCTGGGGTGAGGCTCTCTGGGATGGCCTGGCTCTTGCAGTTTCTAGTTGGTGCGCTTGATAGATAATGGTTCTTTTTTTCTTAATATTTATTTTTTAGTTGTAGTTGGACATAATACCTTTATTTTATATATTTATTTTTTATGGAGTGCTAAGGCTCAAACCCAGGGCCTCACACATGCTAGGCAAGCGCTCTACCAATGAGCCAGAACCCCAGCCCCAGACTAATGGTTCTTACTGCAAAAAGCTGTAGGAAAGATTAAATGATAAAGAACAGGTAAAGTGTTCTATCATGGTACCTATTAAATACTCTGATTATGACAAGAGTTTAGGAAATATTAGCTTTTATTATCATTCATCAAAAAGATCCTGGGCTGGGGTCGTGGCTCAGTGGTAGAGCGCTTGCCTAGCAAGTGTGAGGCACTGGGTTCGATCCTCAGCACCACATATAAATAAAAAATAAAATAAAGATATTTTGTCCATCTACTAAAAAAAAAAATTTTTTTAATTCTGCTACTAGGCTTGAGCTATATGGAGTTTATCTTTACAACTTCATATATTCTTAGTATCTCTATTGTCCATCTATGGGAACTGAAGAAGGAGAAAGCATTCAACTTCTCACCAAGGAAAAGGCAGAAAGAGTGGAGATAGAAAAAAAGAGGCCACATCCACATAAAGGCCAGCCCTGCAACTGGTTCCGGCATAAAAATAGATCTGGACTCCAGTGGCTGCACTGGAAGGAAGGAAACAAAGAGCGCCTTCAGTCTGCCACATAGTAGAGAGCAAATCCTGGGCCTGGACAAACCTCAAGTTCAAGTGTGGAATAAAGACATTTTCAGACTTTGAGGCCTTTGAAAACAAGAGGCATTCTCAGAAACAGGGTAAATTATTACAGTGATTTTTTTTCAATAGATGTTAAATGATACTAAGACTACTAAAGCCACTGAATGTGAAGGATTCATTCATTCCACAAATACATCCTGAGTGCCTACTATGTGCTGTTCATTCAGCAGGCCAGAACAGGTCCCCACAGACACTTGCTGCTGCTCCATGGAATTTACTTTATAGTAACAAACAACTACAGGAGGAAACTGAATCAAAGAGGAAAGTGACAGAGAAAGAAAAATGAGGCTCCTGAACTCCAACTTTCAGTTGAAAAACTACAGGAATTGCAGCAGGTAGAAGATGGAACCACCTGCCATCCTCAGAACCCACTCAGATAAATCCAGAAGGTGGAACTGGCCTGGGCTGGGCATGAGGCTGCGTGCCTGTAACCCCAGCGTTTCAGGAGGCTGAGACAGGAAGATCTCAAGTTCAAGGTCAGCCTGGGCAACCTAGGGAGACCCTATACAATTTTTTTTTAAAGGGAGGGGACCTGGATGGTATAGTTCAGTGGTAGAGCATTTACCTTGTTACATACAAGCCCTGGACATACTCAATCCCTGGAACCAAAGAGAGAGAGAAAAAAAATGCCTGGGTTCCTGAAAAAAGTCAAACTGTTAAAAACAAGACAAGAGGTAGACTTGTGTAGATTAAAAGAGTTAACAGGAGCTGAGGGTACCTCCATGGTGGAGTGTGTTTAGCATATATGCAAGGCCCTGGGTTCCATCCCAGCTCCTAAATAAATAAATGTTAACAATCTCATCCAACTAGTAAACCCTTGAGTATATCCTGAGCCAACAAAAGCAATTTTTTGTTTGTGGTACTGGGGATTGAGCCCAGGGGTACTTTACCATTGAGCCACATCCCCAACCATTTTTATTTTTTATTTTGAGACAGGGTATCACTAGGTTGCTGAGGCTGGTCTCAAACTTGTGATTCTCCTGCATCAGCCTCCTGAGCCACTGGGATTATAGGCATGTGTCATTGCTCCCAGCTTAATTGTTTTAATCTTTTTATTTTTCCATCTAAATGAAAACATTCAAAAGGTGGTATGCCTGTAGTTCCAGCTATTGGGGAGACTGAGGTAGAAGATTTCTCAAGTGTGGGTATTGGAGGCCAGATTGGGCTACAAAGTGAGACCCAGTCTCAAAAAACAATAACAACCAGGCATGGTTCCTCACACCTGTTATCTCAGCAGATCAGGAGGTTGAGGCAGAAGGATCACAAGTTCAAAGCCAGCCTCAGCAATTTAGTGAGGCACTACATAACTTAATGAGACCCTGACACAATAGTACAGTGACTTGTTTACTATGTTAACTATTCTCACATAGGAAAAATCATTAAGAGGAAAAGCAAGGTTCTGCAATGTGGCAGACTGAATACATTCATGTATTTATCTCTAAACCCCAGTTAGATGAAAATAAAGAAATAAAAATGAGGCTGGGGTTGTGGCTCAGCGGTAGAGCACTCGCCTCGCACGTGCGAGACCCTGGGTTTGATCCTTAGCACCACATAAAAATAAATAAACAAACTAAAGGTATTGTGTCCAACTACAACTAAAAACTAAATATTAAAAAAAAAGAAAGAAAAATGTTATAAACCCACAAAACAATGAGGTGGATTAGAGATGTCAACCAGCTTTGGAAGATGGAATGGAACTAATAGCCCAGTAGAAGACTCCAATGCCTAAAGAGAGCCTGGGGATATGGCTTAGTTGGTAGAGTGCTTGCCTTGCATGCACAAGACTCTGGGTTCAATCCCCAGCAACACACACACACACACACACACACACACACACACTCAAATGCCTAAAGAGGAGAATGTATGCAAAAAATATAACAGTCATCTTTCACCAATGTTCAGGACCTGGAGAGACCAGACACCTCTGATAGAACAAGGACATGGAGCTGGAAGCAGGAAAACTGTTTAGAAGTCTGTACATAAAGCAATTAAATGTGGGCGCAGTGGTACATGCCTGTAATCCCAGCATCTCGGGAGGCTGAGGCAGGAGGATCAAAAGTTCAAGGCCAGCCTCAGCAATTAAGTGAGATCCTGTCTCAAAATAAAAAATAAAAAGGGATGGGGATATGGCTCAGTGATTAAGTGACCTGGATTCAATTCCCAGTACCAAAAAAACAATTAAATTCACAAATCCCCTCCCCAACTTTTTTTTACCATTGAGCTGAAAACATAAAAACTGCGATAAAATGTATATATCTTACTACATCTACATCTACAGCCCTATACCCCCTTCCCTATTGCTACAATCTCAACATTGTGGCCCCATAAGTATTCCCCCATGCAGGTAACTGGAAAATTCTCTGGAGAAACCAAATAGTCCCTACAATATGATCTACACATTCTGACACTTGGGGGTACCCAGAAAAAAATTCTGCTTGTCCCAGTCACCCACAATAGGGTGAAGCCCATCAATCGACATGCCCCATCTATGTGAATAGTTTCCAATTAGCTCTGCTTAATGTCTCAGTATCAAATATGAAAAGCAAGCTGTTGAAGAAAATCTCCAACAGCATACATACACTTCAAAAGAAAAAAAAGGGGAGGCAAAATCAGGGGAAACAGTGTGAAAAACAGAAAAAAAAACAGAAAAAATATAGTTCATGTAGTGAAACCTAACAGACTCTATCAATTCATTTTTTTCTCCCTTCCTCTCCCTAAGAGAGCTAAGAGAATATGTACACAAAACAAGAGGACAATGCTATACACACACACACACTCTCTCTCTCTCACACACACAATAGAAACAGTGACAACAATTTAAAATTTAAACATTAAAATTCAAAAACTCATGGGGCTGGGGTTGTGGCTCAGAGGTAGAGCACTCGCCTACCATGCATGAGGTACTGGGTTCGTTCCTCAGCACCACATAAAAATGAAATAAAGATATTGTGTCCACCTATAACTAAAAAATAAATATTAAAAAAAATAAAATTCAAAAATTCAATAGAAAGGGTAAGGTTAATGAGCTTGACCAAAGAGTAGAACAAAAAGAAAGATAAAAGGATAAGATGCATAATTCAAGTTCCAACATCAACAGAAAATGGGATGTGGGAGGGCCGTCGCGCTGAGTGACCAGCATTTCTTCTCGTGATCAGTGGAGGCTCTGTGGGTCATTTTCATAGTGATCTGGCCACATTCATAGTGGCCCCAGACACTGCCCCCCGATCCTCGAAATAGCAGAATGTGTCTTCATGCATAGGCGTGCCTTCCTGCAACCCCAGGGGTGTCCCTTTGTGATATTACTCCCTTGCCCTGTTTGGGATAGAATGTTCCATGGAAATACCCTTTGTGTGTCCCCTTCTCTTGTTCTGCCTTTGGGTGTGGCCTTCCTAGATGTCAGTCAACCTGCTGACAGCAGACATCATGAAGTTAGACTCAGCCCCCTGAAACCTGACCCCTGGCCTCATTTGAATAGCTTCTTCTCAATAAAAGGGTCAGCATGTGTTGGCTCTCTCTCTCTCTCTCTCTTTCTGTGGACCCTTAAGGTCAGAGGAGCCGTCACAGGACCCCTAAAGAAAAAGGTATCTCTGTCTCTTGTGTGGTTATTTCATGCAGCCCAGTTCCCCTGGAGTGATCCTGAGTGTTTTAGTGTCGAGGAACGCAGCAGGGATGAGTATATAGGTTTAGCCATGAAGTGACAGAAAACAGGTAATTTTTTTTTTTAAAGAGAGAGTGAGAGAGGGAGGGAGAGAGAGAGAGAGAGAGAGAATTTTTAATATTTATTTTTTAGTTATCGGCAGACACACATCTTTGTTTGTATGTGGTGCTGAGGATCGAACCCGGGCCGCACGCATGCCAGGCGAGCGCGCTACCGCTTGAGCCACATTCCCAGCCCTGAAAACAGGTAATTTTCATGGGAAAGAAAAATATATCCTTACAGTCAAAATAAAAGAACACCCAGATGCAATGCCACATGCCTGTAATCCCAGTGACTCAGGAGGCTGTCAGAAGGATCTCAAGGCCAAGGCTCAAGGCCAGCCTCAGCAAATTAGCAAGGCCCTCAACAACTTAGCAAGACTCTGTCTTAAAATTTAAAAAAAAAATTTTTTTTAAAGACCTAAGGATGTAGATCAGTGGTAATGCACCCCTAGTTTCAACCCCCAGTACCTTAAAAAAAAGAACAGCAACATCTTAAACATCTTGAACAACATCTTGAATGGCAACATTTGGAGTTAGAAGATAGTGTTAGAAGTTAAAATTCTATGGGAAAAATATTCCTAACCTAGAATCTATACCTAGCTAAACTATTAATCAAATATGAGAAAAGAATAATACTTTCAGACAGATTCAGTTATCACAAAGTTTACCTCCCATGGTCCCTTTTTTGGAAGCCATTAGATGATGCAGTTGACTAAGAATAAGGGAGTAAAATAAGCATTTTAATTTAAACATTTTGAAGGATGGAAGGAAGAAGGAAGGAAGGAAAGAAAGGAGGGGGGCAGGGAGAGATGAGAGAGAAAGGAAGAAGAGGAGGAAGAAGAGGAGAGAGGGGGAAACAAGGACCATTGATTTTCTGTTAGATTAGACTACATGAACAAAAATATGGCAAGGGGTTTAATGATCTTCTGGAGTCTTTGGGACAAATTACCCAAGAGTATGCAGAAAATATAATCAATAACACCAGCTATTATATGTTTGTGTTATGATACTTGTGTTAGGATAAAGTTTCTACTCAGAAATTTGGCAGACTTTTAAAAGTACACAGAGGATAAAAATGGTAAGTGTTTCTTTCATCCTATTTCTGCTTTTAGCCACCTCTTACATTCTTGCCCAAGAGACAAACAATCCAACAGACCAAGTTAAGACTTGGACTTAACATGGAAGTCTTCACATTAGACACTCAGGGGACCTTCTCTCCTCCTTGGGATAAGAGTAGAGAGTGTATAACATAAAAAGAAGACCCTTAATGAGATACAGGGGAGCTGTGGAAAACCTCATGTGATTAGATAAATAATTAAAAGTCAAGATCAATGGGCTAGGGTTATGGCTCAGTGGTAGAGCGCTTGCCTAGCGTGTGTGAGGCACTGGGTTCGATTCTCAGCACTGCATATAAATAAAGAAAAATAATAAAGGTCCGTTGACAACTAAAAAAATATTTTTAAAAAAAATCAAAGATAGGGGCTGGGGTTTTAGCTCAACGGTAGAGTGCTTGCCTAGCACGTGTGAGGCTCTGGGTTCGATCCTCAGCACTACATAAAAATAAATAAAGGTATTGTGTCCAATTACAACTAAAAAATAAATATTAAAAAAGAAGTCAAAAGGCTGGGGATGTGGCTTAAGCGGTAATGCACTCGCCTGGCATGCGCGGGGAGCTGGGTTCAATCCTCAACACCACATAAAAATAAAAAATCAAAAGATATTGGGGGCTGGGGATGTGGCTCAAGCGGTAGCGCGCTCGCCTGGCATGCATGCAGCCCGGGTTCGATCCTCTGCACCACATACAAACAAAGATGTTGTGTCCGCGAAAACTAAAAAATAAATATTAAAAAAAAAAAGATATTGTGCCCACCTAACTAAAACTAACTAACTAAATAAATAAATAAGATGTCAAAGACAGAAACAAAAAGCAGGGGACTAGGGTTATGGCTCAGCGGTAGAACGCTCGCCTAGCATGTGTGAGGCACTGGGTTCGATCCTCAGCACCACATAAAAATAAATAAATAAAATAAGTGTATTGTGTCCAACTACAATTAAAAAATATTGTTTTTGCATTTTTTAATTTGTTTTAATTAGTTACACATGACAGTACAATGATCTTGACATATCATACATTTGAATCAGATGGGATATAATTTCTCATTTTTCTGAGTGTACAGGTTGTAAAAACTAAATATTAAAAAAAACTAAATATTCTGCTGGACACAATGGCACATGAAAGAAAGAAAGAAAAAGAAAGAAAGGAAGGAAGGAAGAAAGAAAGAAAGAAAGAAAGAAAGAAAGGAAGGAAGGAAGGAAGAAAGAAAGAGCAGGTACAAATAATTGAACTAACCCCATCTCAAGCATGGGTAATTCAAATTTGGGGTGGAGGTCGGGGTACCCTGTGACATACTGGCCCTGCTAAAGTAGGTTAAACAGTGCAGCCCAGCAATTATTCTGGGTACAACTCTGGTGCTATTTAGAAGATCCATAAGGATGAATTTGATCCAGATGTGTATAGGACCCTGAAAGAGGCCTGTCACAGTAGATGGTAAAACTGGCTTCATGGGAGTGGCCAGTACAGAAATAGTGAAGGAAGTAAATTTAAAACCAACAAACATAATCATCATTATGGAATATGGCGTCTTACTTTTTGAGTTTTTTCCCCTTCATTTGCTCATCTCCTCTTCACTTGCTTTTGTAACTTTGGAGCCACTCATTCTTCAGGATCCATTTTCATTTTGCTTACTCCAGGCCTGCTGCTTCTTCCACAGCCCTCGATATCTATCCTTTATCCTGTTGTAATTCTTCTCATCAGGCCATGCCTGCATATTGTCTCCCTAATTATGTGTCAGATGAAATCCTTCTAGCCCATCCTAAAGCCACTTCTCAAAGAGCTATTTAAGAACCCCAAATCCAATTTTCTTCTATCATTACCAAATCTATTCTTTCTCCTCAGAATGTTCTTATTTTCCTCTTTACCACTATTTTTTTTTCCCTTCCACTGGTACTGGCTCTGCCTTCATGCCCAGTAGCTCTGCTCCATTCCCACATCCTTCTTTCTAGACTCTTCTTTACCCCTTCAAGATCAATAATGTCTCTAATAATGACTCTAATGTCTCCTCTTTGACTTTCAATAGTTCCCCTACCTGGATATCTCCTTCTTTAGCTGCAATCCTTCATCTGCCTCATCCACTGGGACCTTCCCCTGTAATATTTTTCTCTTCCATAGAAACGAATTCACCAGTAATATCTTTCACTTCATGAAGGCTATCCTCATCAATTTCTATTCCTTCCTCAATCCCTTCTAGTTCTTCATCTCTCATTTTTGTACTTTCAGAAGGAATTTCCATCTCCTCATCTGTAAATTCTATCCCTCTTTCATCACCAGTAATTTCTATCACTCTTTCAATGTTCTCTTCACTTCTGCTCCGTTTTTCTCCATTAGATTCCAGTTTCTCTTCACTTGACCCCGCTTTATCTCCAATGGATCTCGAATCCTCTCTATCAGTCCTTGGTTTCTCTTCACTGGACCTTAGTTTCTCTCTACTCAACCTCATCTTCTCTCCACTGGACCCCCGCTTCTCTCTCCTGTACACTGGGTTCTCTCCATTGGACCCCCGCTTCTCTCCGCTGTACACTGGCTTCTCTGCAATGGACCCCCGTTTCTCTGCAGTGGACCCCCGCTTCTCTGCAGTGGACCCCCGCTTCTCTACAGTGGACCCCCGTTTCTCTCCCCTGGACTCCCGCTTCTCTCCACTCAACTTCTGCCCCTCCTTCTGCTGCAATTGATATTCTCTGGATCTCAAGTCGTCTCCACTGGTCCCCACGTTATTCCCAGTAGACGTGGGCATCTCTTCAGACAGAGACCACCCCTTCCTAGACTCTGCGGTCATCCCTGAAGCGTTAGATTCAGCTCCAATTTTGCGTTTGACGTCTTGTTTTCCCCAAATCTCTCTTGCAGAATCCTGCAATGCATCTGCTGTACTACTGCCAGTCCCTTCCTGACTCAGGCCTGCCTTCTCTTTCAAGACGGTCTTTCCCACACTTTCTGGTCGCAAGTTCTCAGGACCAACCCTCGGGTCCCACGTTCTAGGCTTTTGCGTCTTTCTGCCCAGAAGCTCCACCCTCTTTCCAATCACGATTAGCCCGTTCCAGGGCACCCACATTTTCACTTTCTCTCGCTGCACCTGCGCCCTCTTGCAGCCCCGCTCCAGCGAATGCCAGCGGATGGAGGCCTGAACGGCGCCTCCTGGGGTGAGGGCCTTGCTGAGCCGCCTCAACTGATTGTTCAGCCGCTCCCTCGCGCCCCTGAGCGAAATTATTAACGGAATCCCTTTCTGCTCAGACATCGCCACCTGCCCTGGCGGGTGGCCCACTGGCTCCACTCCGGGGAATCATTCCCTAACCCTCCCTCCCGCCCCTCCCGCCCCACGCCGCCCCACCCGCCGCCTCACCCACCGCCTCACCCACCGCCTGGAAGGCGCGAGACCGAGTTAGTGTGCACGCGCAAAACGCGCGCGTGGCCGTTGGAAGCCGGGCCGGGAACCGCCACGAGCCGGAGTCCCCCAGCCCCGGGGGCGGGGGATGGGGCGGTGGCCGTGACTCGTGATGTTCCTGGCCCTGAAGTGTGACCGAGGCCCTGAAGTGCTCGTGTATCACCCGCCCTCTTTCGGTTCCGCGCTGCCCGTTAAAAGCCCTGCTTGGGATCTCACACACACACACACATATACAAAAAAAAAAAAAAAAAAAAGACTTGGGCGTTATTGCCAATGGAGTCCAGCAAGCTCGACCTGCTACCCAATCGGAAGGCGCAGCTGCCAGGGACAGGGTGGGAATCACCCGGACCCCAGGTAACTCCCAGGCTGGGAGGGGGAGGTGTCACCAGCAATTGATGGGATCCCCACTCGGTCCGTTCATCCGGGCGAGTTACAGTGACGAAGCTGCGGGAGCGCGCGGGCAGCGTCCATCCACGGAATGTGTGTGCTGCAGCTGAGTAGCCCGAAGGAGCAGCATCGGGAGGCTGGGAAGGAGAGTAAGGTAAAGAAAAGATGTAAACCCTCTTCCAACCACCACCTCACTCCATGGTACCCGATTGATATCCAAGGAGAGTGAGAGAGCGAGCGCACAGTGGACCAGGGGATGGGGCGCCTCTGTGCCCTTGCATAGCTGTATGGCGACTGGTGAGGATGCCAAGGGACACAGGGTTTTACCTTTGCCTGCGCAAATGGAAAGGGATTCATCACTGTAACTCCTCCCTAGGACTGACTCGCACTGGCTAGATGGGGAAGAAGAGGAAGAAGGGATGTGAGGGATTGTGAAGGGGCTGGTGTCCTCTTCCCTCCGCCCCCGCAGTGGGGGAATCCTGAAAGCACGCATGGCTTCACCTGTGTATCTATGTTCATATAATCATAAGACCCTTCATTTTTCCTTTCAACCTCATTCTACAAATAGTCATTGAGCATCTACATTGTGCCAAAGATGGTTAAGGCATGCAGAGGTGCACACTTTGTGGGCTGTGGCTGAGGCTGAGAATGGAGCAGCTAGGGTACACCCTGAAGGTCCTACCTCCCCCAAGCAGCTACCCAGCAGTGTAGTTGAAAGCAGGGATACTAAGCTATCAGGAAGCAGGGCAGGTGACTAGGAGGCCTACTGTATCACTGAACCAGACTGCTTGTGTTTGGAGCCGGATGCTGGTAAGGGGAGTTAGGAGAGCCTGTCTTGGGAGTGTTACAGAAGTGAGGAGAGGATTCTAGTGGAATTTGGAGGGACTGATAGACACAAAACAAAACAACAAGTGACTGTTTTAGTGTTTATCTATGTTCATATTCATGGTTAAAATAGATTACAAAATATATCTCAGAGCTTAGTGTGTGTATGAAGTACCTAGCGTACTGTAAAGACAAATACAAGTATTAGCTGTTATATTAATATTGTTGTTATTCCTGTTGTTAGTGCTATCATATGGGATGTTGTGTTTTCTGAGGATGTACTGAGCCACACACTCTGAAATTCCACTCTTAACACTTATCCTCTAGGTTAACATTGCCTCCTAAAGCTCCTTCTTTAAATGCAGAGACATTAGAAGAAAAGCAAGTATTAGGCATGGTAATACACACCTGTAATCCTGGCTACTCAAGAGCTGCTCAAGAGGATAGCAAGTTCAAGGCCAGTCTAGGCAATTTAACAAGGCTCTGTCTCAAAATAAAAATTTTAAAAGGGCTGGGGATATAGCCAAGTGTTAGAGCACTTGCCTACCATGTGGAAGGCCCTGGGGTCAATCCCCAATACTTAAAAAAAAAAAAAAGCATTTTCACATTGGATTTTGAAAACACAACTACATACTATACATGTAAGGACACAAAAAAGGTTGAAATAAAGGATAAAAGGAAAGGAAAATGTACACCATGCACACACTAACCAAAAAAAGCTGATGTTGCTATTAATTTCCAAGAGAATAGACTGTAATCATGAAATATTACTAGAAATAAAAGGGACATTTTTAATGATGAGTCAATTCAACAGAAAAACATTCCTAAATTTATATGCATAAATTTATATATGCAAATATGTACACATTTATAACATAGCTTCCAAATATACAAAGTAAAAGTGACAGAACTGAAAAGAGAAAGAGGCAGTTTTAGTTAGAGATTTTAACACAGCTATCTCAATAACTGCTGGAACAAACAGACAAAAATAATCAGTAAGGATTTTGAAGATTTAAACAGCATAATTAATCAATTTGATCTAATTGACCTATATAGGAATCTGTACCTAACAACTGCAGAAAACATTTTTGTGCACATATTATATGTTAGGCTACAAAGATAGTTATCAACAAATGTTAAAAGACTGAAATAATATAGAATACATTCTCTGACCCAGGATTAATTAGGAATTAAAACAAACAAACAACCAAAAAAAACTAAATTCTAAACTATTTGAAGACATTGCTTCTAAATAACTCATAGGTAGAAGGAGAAATTATAATGGAGATTAGAAAATACTTTTAAATAAATGACTATGAAAACATGACACATCAAAACTTACAGAATATTGCTAAAGCAGTGTCCAGAGGGAAGCTGATACATCCACAGGCACATGCACATTTTGGAAAAGAAGAAAGACTGAGAAGTCATTGATCTAAGCTTCAATCTTAAGAAGCTAAAAGAAAAGAAAGTTAAACCCCAGGAAATTAGAAGGATAAGAAAAGAAAGTGATAGAGAAATTGATATGTAGAAAATAAATATATAGGGCTGGGGATGTGGCTCAAGCGGTAGCGCACTCGCCTGGCATGCATGCGGCCCGGGTTCGATCCTCAGCACCACATACAAACAAAGATGTTGTGTCCGCCGAAAACTAAAAAATAAATATTAAAAAGTTCTCTAAAAATAAATAAATAAATATATATATATATATATATATATGTATATAAAGAAAAAACAATAAGGTAAATTTTTGAAAATGTCAATAAAATTGATAAATTTCTAGCAAGACTAAGAGTACACATGGAAGAGAGAAAAAGCAGGATGTAGGGGGAGAATACTAATTATCTGTATTAGGAATGATATTGAGTATGTTGCTGAAGATGCTCCAGACATTAAAAAAAAAAAAAGGTAATAAGGGCTGGGGCTGTAACTCAGCGGTAGAGCACCTGCATTGCATGTGTGAGGCACTGGGTTGAGTCCTCAGCACCACATAAAAATAAAGATATTGTGTCCATCTACAACTAAAAATATTTTTAAAAAGGTAATAAGTGTATATGTGCCAAAGAACTTGGATAATTTAGATGAATTAGACAAACTCCTTGAAAAAATGAAACTTATCAAACCTGATAAGCAAGAAATAGAAAAGTCTGTGTGGTTTTATCATTTTTTTATAAATTGATTATGGAATTTGAACCTTTCTAAAAATATCTATATACAGATAAATTCATAGGTGAATTCTTGAAAGACTTAAAGGAAAAATGCCTTTTTTTACTTTTTAAATGGACACATATATGTACATATTTATGTACATAATTATACTATACTATAGTATAATTTAATATGGTGTATATAATGTACAATAATCAAATCAAGGTAATTAGTATTTTCATCTTCTCAAACATTTGTCATCTCTGTGGGTTGGAAACCTTCAAGACTCTTCTAGTTATTTTGAAAAACATGAAATACTTCATGAATTAATGTGGCACAGAGGCCTTGCTAATCTTCTCTGTATTGTTCCAATTTTAGCATGTGTGCTGCTGAAGTGAGCACAATAGTACCATTCTTACACAAATCCTTCCAAAAAACAGAAATAGAAGGCACAGTTCTCATTCTAGTTTAGGAGGACAGCATAACCTTGATACAAAAATCTTTCAAGAAGAGATACAAGCAAAGACTGGGATGTGGCTTGGTGGTAGAGCCCTTGCCTGGCCTGTGCGAGGCCCTGGATTTGATCCTCAGTACTGAAAAAAAAATAAGAGAGAGCAATGAATTGTGGCAAGAACTACACAACAGTGTGAATGTACGTTGTGCCACTGAATTATACACTTAAGAATTGTTGAAATGGTAAATTTTAAATTTATGTATGTTTCACCACAAAAAAAATTGTCAAGAACATAAGAAAGGAAAAAAATACAATCTCTCATGAACATAGATGCAAATTATAAACCAAATATTGTCAAGTTGATAATATAATATAAAAGGATAGCATTTAATGAGCAAGCCTTCTTCCAAAATACAATGGTTTAACATTAGAAGATCAGTCACAGAGGTCAGTACAATGGTTCATGCGTGTGATCCCAGCAACTCTGAAGGGTGAGGCAGGAAGATTGCAAGTTCAAGGCCAGCCTCAGCAAGTCTCCAAATAAAAATTTAAAAAGGGCTGGGATGTAGCTTAGTGTGGTAAAGTGCCCCTGGGCTCAACCCCCAGTACCAAAAAAAGAAAGAAAGAAAAAGAAAATCGGTCAATGCAATGTGAAGGATAAGAGAAGAAAGTGATAGCAGAAATTGATATGTAGAAAATAAACATATATAAAGAGAAAACAATAATGTAGATTTTTGAAGATGTCAATAAAATTGATAAATTCCTAGCATATAAACAGAGTAACAGGAAAATCCATATGATTATTTCAAAAAGGTAGAAAATAAAAATCAACACTCTGGCCGAATTAGGCATAGCAGGGAGCTTCATTAATCTGAGAAAGTGTATCTAGGAATATCTTCATTGAATTTTAAAAGCATCCCCTCAGTCAGGGGCAGTGTTGCATACCTGTAATCCCAGTGGCTCAGGAGGCTGAGGCAGGGGGATCGCAAGTTCAAAGCTAGCCTCAGAAATTTAGTGAGGTCCTAAGCAATTCTGCGAGACCCTGTCTTTAAATAAAATATAAAAAAGATGGCTGGGGAT